GGCTCAGGCACAGCAGGTGCGGCCTTTGGTGGCTCAGGCACAGCAGGTGCAGCCTTTGGTGGCTCAGGCACAGCAGGTGCAGCCTTTGGTGGCGCTGGTGCAACAGGTGCGGCCTTTGGCGGCTCAGGCACAGCAGGAGCAGCCTTCGGTGGCGCTGGTGCAACAGGTGCGGCCTTCGGCGGCTCAGGCACAGCAGGTGCAGCCTTTGGTGGCTCAGGCACAACAGGTGCGGCCTTCGGCGGCTCAGGCACAGCAGGTGCGGCCTTTGGCGGCTCAGGCACAGCAGGTGCGGCCTTTGGTGGCTCAGGCACAGCAGGTGCGGCCTTCGGCGGCTCAGGCACAGCAGGTGCNCAGGTGCGGCCTTTGGCGGCTCAGGCACAGCAGGTGCGGCCTTTGGCGGCTCAGGCACAGCAGGTGCGGCCTTTGGTGGCTCAGGCACAGCAGGTGCAGCCTTTGGCGGCTCAGGCACAGCAGGTGCAGCCTTTGGTGGCGCTGGTGCAACAGGTGCGGCCTTTGGTGGCTCAGGCACAGCAGGTGCAGCCTTTAGTGCTTCTGTAGCATGCGACTGTGGGATGTCGAAAAATTGCGGGCTCTTATGTAAGGCACGTGCATGCCCGCCGATGTACCAGGTGACCACCGTGGTCACTGAGACTCCTAAGCGGCGCATCACTGACAACGAATGGATATTTCAGTTGCGGTAGTCAAATCCCGTTGTTTTCGTCACTTCCTGTTCTTTTCTTTTAGCTTTAGACCTCCTGTCTTCCTCAATCTCGGTTCCGGTAAAGAGCGGTGCCTTCCACCAACGTTATGGCTACCACCTTTCACAACAAAAACGTCAAGAAAAAGAATAAAGAAAAAAAAAGCATTTGCACATTAAAGAGATGAACCCCCACCGGAAAGACCCTCTTGACGCCCTTCCTTTGATTGCACCTCTCTCTCTCTCCCTTTTCTTCCGAGAGTCTTGTTTCTTTTGGTTTCTAAACGGCATGCCACGCCGCAGAAAGGGACCTCAGTCATACACCCTGATGGCCTCCTTTGACCCTTTCGGCCCCACTGCGATGATGGCCTCGTAGCATACCCACACGCAGAGCGGTAGCAAAGGGGAGAGACAAACGATTGGAAGCGGCAGATCAAACACCTTCTCTTGGTACTGTGACAAATTTACCGGATCATTGAAACGTAGGACGCAAAATGTCAGCGTGGCGATCAGCAATGCCCACAATGGCAGTACTCCAGGCGTTAAAAACATGTTACTGGCTTTGTTTTTGTATCCTTCCTATGTAGGTCCTCTACCTACGGCACAGTGCACACGGATAGAAAAAAAGGCTCACGCATCATCTGTGTGTTACACGCAGTGAAATTCGAAGCAATGCAAACCATCCCTTCGTCACCAGGGTGAACTGGGATGTTGAGTTGCTGCCGGCAACTTGCGCTTAACCAAAGAGTTCAAATGACACAGTAAGATAAAGCAGCGGCTGGCCATCCTCCCTCTGACGTCGCCGCGGATGACCACCACCAAACAATCTGTACCCTGACCACACGGACTCTGTGGTGTCTGACAAACAGAGAAGCGGCACTGTTAGCAAGTGCGGCTCCTTGTTGTTATTATCGCTGTACACCTCATCCCCTTCAGGGAGCATCCACTCGGCGACTCCTAGCAGCTCATCGCGGCTGGTGTATAGGGTGGCGTAGAGCGGAGCCGATAGGCTGTGGAAACCCAGTTGGAGAGACTCCCCCCACAATGTACTGTTGCCACTACTGTTGTTGTTAGTGGCGGCATTGCCACCGTGAGTGCGCACCTCCTGGAAACCGTTCGTGAGTGCCAGCACTGCGCCATTGCTGCTGATGCCTTCCACCTCTCGCACGGTGATGTACGCGACACCAATATACTGAGGCGGGCCCTCGTCCGGCATGCCGCTCTGCTCGTCGGCGGACCTACTCAGTGCGTGTGGGTCACATGGGGGCGATGTCCTGTGCGACCCCTTCTCACTGTGCTCTCTTGTAAAAGTGCCGCTGTACTTCAGCTGAATGTACGACTCTCGCACCTCACGCAGCGAGCGGCTTCCCACCGGTTTGTACGCCACCTCCCCCGCTGGGGTGGTGTAATTGTCGTACTCGAGCTCGCCGTTGAGCACGTCATTGCCGCGGCTACCCATAAAGGCGATATCAGCTGCGCCCCAACAGTCTAGCTGTGTCTCACGGCATCGCTGCGGCCACAGCTGACGATGCACACCGACGCAGTGGATACAAACAAAACCCCCAAACGGTTGCAGCAATGCCCACGTTGGCCACTTTTCTCCACAGTCCGCACAGAACTGGTTGGCCGCATTTTCTGCGATGCAGGGTACAAACAGCGGAGACTGCTTCAGGCGATCCGGAGCCTCTTCATCCTCGACGCTGCCTGCCATTGCGGTGTCGTCGCTGCGATCCTGCCGCTGCTGCTTGTGTTGGTGATCGTGGCTTGGAATGCCTTCCTCATCAGACTGATTCACGTTCTCCCGCTCCTCTCGCCGTTGCTGCTCCTCGTAGAGACGCAGGACGTCCTCCAGCTGCGCCACCTCGTGCCCCTCCAGCGGTTCGTCGCACGTTTCGTCAATGACCCTCGGAGGGCGGCGCAGTAATCGATACATGCCACTGCTGTCACAGCAATGACTTACTCTGTGCGGCACAGCGCCGTTCTTATCTTCCGTCTCCTCTTCTGGCCGCATCAACTCTGATGCACGGCGCAACAAACAAATGAAACGCCACTTGAGTAGCTTATTGTCAGTGAAGAAGAGCGCCACTCGCCGCATTATTGATGATTCCGCGCCGTCGGCCACTTTAAGAGTGTGAAACATCCCTGACGGATGCAGCTGTTCAATACTAGCCTCGTCTGCGAGCCCCAGCACGAAACAAAAGCTACTGCGATGTGTACCGCAATCAACTACGCGCGAACCTAAAAGAAACAGGCGTTCCTGTAAGTTCTTCGCCATGGAGTTTCGCGGCTCATCGAAACAGTAGAGTACGCCGTCGGTGTGCAATTCGATCGTCCGTGCCACATTTGGGCGTTGACGCCAGCCAAACCAGCACGACATCGCACCGGACACTAACAGTGTCTCTAAAGTCGCCTCCATTGCTACTTACTCGCGTACTGCTACAATATATATATATATATATATATATGTATATATAAGGGAGCGTACCAACGAAACAAACCTACCCACGTAGGCCTCTGAAAGAAACTACGCTCGAAGCGCCTCCACTGCACTACAGCAAAGGCAGTATGTTCATAGCACGCAAAAGAACCACAAAAAGTGAGAAGCAGAGGAGTGCAGAGAAAGACGCCAGTGGGTGACGCAGATACATCAAGTCAATATCACAAAATCAAGTCCACCAGTGTGATGTTATTACCTCCACATTCACACAATCACACAATATCATTCTTCTACTCTTGCTGAACTCACCCCGACTGCGGAGAGCGCGGCCGCTTCCGTCCACTCTCACTCTCCTCCCCACCGGTAGGGACTGCATCGCCGCCCAATGTCTCTGCCAAAATGCGTCGCACAAACTCGTTTTGCTCCGACTCTCGCTGTTCTTGGGCAGCGCGGCGCTCGGCCTCCATCTGGCGGTACTCCGGCTCTTCTACCACCACTGCGTAGCGGCCACGGCGGCTATCGTGCACGAGCTCAGAGACAACAAAGGAGTGGAGCCCAACATCCACCGCAGCCGCATCGGGCGACTTCTCCACCGCCGTTCCTTTCGTGTGCAGAAAAATAGAGATGGTGAAAAGAACCGGTGGTGCCGACGACGATGGGAGCACAACGTAGACGGGGCCATCAGTGCTGGGTGTGCTGGGCAGCCACACCACACAGCTGCCGCTGAATGCCATGCCTACCAACGAAGTCTCCGTAGTATCTGTGCCATCCACCTCATTCTTTGCATCCGTGGGGGTTGCAGGCATCAGCGCCGACGCGCGTCGCATTTCCGTTTCGCGCTTCGATGCGACGAGCCGCAACGACGCTTCACTTCCGCCGACAGCAGTGGCATACAGCACGGCCACTGTCATGCGCTCCCCGGGGACAGCGAAGTCGCGCCATTCCATACCGCCCTGTCGAGGCACAAACATGGAGGGCACAAACACTGGCCACTCCTGAGAAGACACCGACGTCATGGCCGCTGCCGGCAGCGCTGGAACCGTCCTTGCGTAAAGCCCATCGTTCTCAATGCGCTGAATGCACACCGGCACCACCGACAGGAGATGTATTCCCTGTGGAAACCTGTGCACCCGTTCAACCGCAGCAGCCGATAATTGTGACTCGCCTGCGCGATCGGATCGCATGCTGCGTTCCTGCAGCGCCTGATACAACCGACCAGCAAGCGCCTTGCCATTTTTTGGCGCGGTAGCAGCCGCAGCAACATTAGCAGCAGTAGTAGTATTAGAGCCGCCGCCCAAGTGTCTCAAGCGGTTCAGGATGACTGACGGTTTTTGCTCTACTGAGCTGCCCTTCCTGGTGCTTACAACCCCTCGAAGCTCGGCCTCAAGAAAGTTCTTGTTGTCAGCCACGTCCGTCGACGTGAGTCGCGCCTCGATGACATCCCAAGGAAACACCTTCACGAAATTTGTTTGCGTCCGGAGGATAATAGGATGACCCTTGCGAGTCAGTCCAGCATCGACTTCACAGTACATCATGCTGTTACCACTGCTCTTGTTGCTCTGTGGGAGAACGATGCCGCGCAACACGAGCCCCTTTGCAACGTTTTTCACCGAACGCCGCGTCAAGAGGACGTGCTTCAAGGCCCGCTGAAGAACCTCGTTGCTCCCCACATGCGTCACGTACATATCCTTCGTCGCTGCTAGAGAGATCTGGTGTGTGGTTAGAAAGCTGTTGGCGTCGTACACTGTCTTAAAGCTCATCAAGGCCGCGAAACGCCCAATGGCACGAGCACGCACGCACGCCAGAGCCGTCAAAAAGGTCCCTCTCACATCATCATCCTTGGCGTTGCTGGCCCTGTCGCTGGCGCCCGCAAACCCTTCAGCATCCGCCGTCGCATCGCCATTCAAGGCGCTGGGAACCGACACAATTTTTTCCTCAATCATCACGACGGGTTCGCCCCCCGCAAGAAGCGAATGCAGGAACGCCGTGTCGACGGCCTTTGGAGACGTCACGAGCAGCTCAGATCCCACGTGCACCACTGGGGGAAGAAAACTGATGGCCCAGCGTCGCCCCGTCGCCGTCATATCGTTCTGAAACCGCTCCGCCGCAGAGAGCCGCTGGAACTGAATAATAGCCGCGCCGCTGTGGAAGGCGCGGTCCTCCTCGAAGCACACCTCTTCAACGGCGCCGTAGGCAGCAAACGTGCGGAACAGCTCCACCCGCAACGTTATATCTTCTGGTTCAACGCCCGCCACGCGGACACGGCGTGTGACGGAGCAACCTTGCATGCCGTCGCCCTGGCACCACACACCGCCACATTCATGTACACAGAGGCATAGAGAAAGAGAGAAAGAGAGGGAAGCGGACAGAAAAAAAAAGAGGAAGGCTCGATGTCAAGGTTGTAACTGACAGCAAAGAGCACATAAACAGGTCGAAACGGAGACGTACCGGGTCTCAAGCCCAAAAATAAAAAGGAAAAAAAAAGTAAAGCAACATTCATGATCCATTCACTCTCAATACAAACCGATGCGCCTGCAGGGACTTTACGCAGAGGTGATATCAGAGTCACCCACGTCAGTGATCGACATCACACAGGTGCGGAAGTGGCG